GAGACTGCTGTCCTTTCTCGAGGGGCTGTTGAATAGCTGTGTTGCAAGTGCCACTTGATAGACAATAACGTAACGAATCACTCACTGTGGTGTAAACTAGGCTTGTGAATTATTTGTTTGCAATATTGCGTCGTCAGTGGGCACACCTGTGTTCAGGTTAGTTCAGTATGCAGCTGCACAGCAAAGGACCGAAGTCGTTGCTATTTAACTTTTGTTATTGTGCCACTTGATGGACATTAACGTAACGTAAACTCGATGTTGTAGTAGTTTAGTCTCTTGTTGTTAATAAATTCTTTTGTTATAGAAAACGGTCTTTGATGTCAACTCTTCAACCATTCTTTTCCACCCATGTTTTACTTTATACGATTGTTGCAATGTGATCTTTTTTTTAAATGACGGCTGTTCTTGGGAAATTCGAATTGTAATTCATAGCACCACTTCAAATATAATTATTTGATTGTGAGAACCTGTCGGTTACCCTTTATTGGTTTTAACCTCCTGTTTAACTCGGAGGAACCAGCGGCCTATCTTGAGGTAACAGGAGCATAGGGTGAAAGAAACTTTTCTCATTGTTTCTCGCCGGCACCAGGGATCGAACCCGGGACCACAGGATCACGCGTCCAGTGTTCTGTCCGTTCAGCCACCGGCTTCCTATGGCCTATGGCCTATGTGGACAGGTTTTCACCCAAGTGGTGGAAGCCTGGCGGTTTGCTCCCGCTTTTCATTTTTCTATTGGTCTCATGCTTAGAGTAGAAATATCTGCAGTGTGCAGTTCTTTATGCTTGAGGTCCACCTCCTAAGGGAGGTAGGCGCAGAAAAAAATCTCACAATTTACATATATCAGGAAAGGGAATTTACATATATATAAGTCCAAGAACTGATCCCTGAGGGACTCCACTGGTGATTCCACGCCACTCCGATACCTCACCCTACACAGTGACTGGCTGTCTTCTGTTGCTTAGGTACTCCCTTATCCAGTGGAGTACCTTCCCTTTCACTCTTGCCTGCATCTCCAGTTTGTGCACTAGTCTCGTATGTGGTACTGTGTTATAGGCTTTCTGGAAATAAAAAAAATGTGCAGTCTGCCCAGCCCACTCTTTCTTGCCCGATTTTAGTTGCTTGGTAATTTAATTCAATCAATCCCGTGAGGCACGATCGGCCATCCCTGAACCCATGCTGATGTTGTGATACAAAGTTCTTCCGCTCAGATGATCCACTAGCTTCTTTCGCACAAACTTCTCCATCACCTTGCATGGTATGGTAGTGACACAGCCTGTAGCTCAGTACCTCCTGTCTATCCCCCTTCTTGATTATCGGGACTACATTAGCCGTCTTCCAAATTTTTGGCAGTTCACCTATAACCAGTGATTTGTTATACACCTTGGAGATTGGCAAGCACAGTGCTTCTTCTCCTTCCTTCAGTATCCAAGGTGAGATTCCATCCGGGCCCATAGCCTTTTTTACTTCCAACTCTAGCAGATGCTTCCTCACCTCCCCACTGGTAATCAGAAACTCATCTAGTGGTGTTTGGTTAGATATTCCCTCTCTTATCTCTGGGACTTCCCCTTGCTCTACTGTGACGACACATTGGAATTTCTTATTGAATTCCTCGCACACTTCCTTGTCGTTTATAGTGAATTTCTCTACCCCCTATCCCCGGTTTCATTACCTGTTCCTTCACTTTTCTTTTTCTCCTGATGTGGCTTTGCAACAGTTTAGGTTGAGTCTTTGCCATGATTGCTATGTCATTTCCATATTGCTTTTCTGCCCCTCTTCTCACCCTGAAGTATTTATTCCTGGCGCTCCGGTATCTTTCTTTGCTTACAAGTGTCCTATTATTTTTATAGTTTTTTCACGCCCTTGTACTTAGTTGCTTTGCTAGCTTACACTTCTGATTAAAACATGGCATTCTCGTCTGCATTTCATTTCTTTCCTTTTGGACTGTGACGAACTTATCTGCTACCTCCTTACATTTCTGTTTAATGTAGTCAATCATGTCTTGGGCCGTCTTTCCTTTGAGCTCTGTTTCCCAAGTTATATTTGTTGGAAATTTTCCTATCTCCTCATAGTTTCTCTTTCGGAATGCCATCCTTTTCTTTTCTGTGGCCTTCCTTGGGTACTTTAACCCTCCTTCGACCAGATACTCAAAGATCAGTACACTGTGATCGCTCATTCCCACGGGTGTTTCGAAACCGATTTTCCTTATGTCAGACTCATTCAGAGTGAAGACTAGGTTGAGTCTCGCTGGTTCATCGTTGCCTCTCATTCTTCTGGGTCCCTTGACATGCTGACTTAAAAAGTTTCTTGTCGCCACTTCCTACAGTTTAGCTCTCCATCTTTCCTCACCCCCATGTGGTTGCTTGTTTTCCCAGTATATCCTTCCTTGATTGAAGTCCGCCATGAGGAGCAAATGGGATCTATTTTTACAGGCAGCAGTGGCTGTTCCCTCAGTTATAGTGTTGACTGCCATGTTGTTTCTATCATACTCTTGCCTGGGTCTTCTGTCGTTTGGTGGAGGGCTATATATCACTGCCATTACTACTCTTGGTCCTCCCATCTTCATGGTGCCTGTAATGTAGTCTCTGAACCGTGTGTGTTACCACTTGAGTGTTTGGTTGGTATTTTGTTCCTGTGTGCGAGCCTCTTGAGGGTCTGGTTCGTACTTTGTTCTCGTGTGTGAGTCCTTGAGTGTCTGGTCGACACTTTATCCTTGTGGGTGATACCTTGAGTGTCTGGATGGCACTTTGGCCTTGTCAGAGTTCCCATGAATGTCTTGTTGGTGGAATTTTAACCCTTTGTGTGACCCCCTTGAGTGTCTGGTTGGCACTTTGACCTAGTTAGAGTTCCCATGAATTTCTTATTGGTGAGACTTTGTCCCTTTGTGTAACCTCTCGAGTGCCTCGTTGGTAATTTAACCCTGTGAGTGCCAGGTAGTTAGTTAGGTCCCGTGAGTATCTTGATACTTTGCTCCTGTGAGTACCTTGATACTTTGCTCCTGTGAGTACCTTGATACTTTGCTTCCGATAGTCGATAGTGCCTTGTTGAGAAATTACCCCAATGAGCGCCAGGTTTGTATTTTGCCACTATGAGCGCCTGATTTGTATTATGTACGCATGAATGCCTGGTTTCGTTCTTGTTTCCAGTGAGTGATTGGTGAGTACTTTGCCCCCCTGTGAGTGCCTGGCTGGTACTTCGTCTCCGTGAGTGCCTGGCTGGTACTTTGTCCGCGTGAATGCCTGTTTGGTATTCTTCCCCTTGAGTGCAAGGTTGATGCCATGCGTACCGTGATAATCTGGTTGATACTTCGTTCCCTCGAGAACCTGGTTGATACTCTTCCCCTGTGTACCTGGTTGATACTTTGCACCCGTGAGTACCTGGTTACTACTTTGCCCCAGTGGGTACCTCTTTGATACTTTGCCCCCGAGTGTAACCTAGTTAGCGCTTGGTTGGTACTTCGCGGCTGTGAGTGCCTTGTTGGTACTTTGTCCCCGTGAGTTTCTAGTAAGTACTTGGTTCCAGTGAGCGTCATGTGAATACTTTGCCCCCATGTGTGTCTGTTTTGTACTTTGGCCCCGTGAGTGTCTACGTAAGTGTGCTCACCAAAGGAGCGGCTTTGTGATCCGAATAATTAAATAACACGGAAATCATTCTCTCCCGCTGGAGATGGATAAATTAGAATGGCTCGAGGCCCTTGTTCATTGTTCATCGTTGCTCAAGGGGGTAAACTGAAGCTCAAACTGTGGATGGTTTTACACTGTAACTATAGTTCAGCTTGTTGGTTTACAGTCGTTCTACACGTCCAGGACGGAAACAGTTCATCTCCGACCCTCACTCAAACGTTGAGTCCTCTAGCTCCTTTGGTTGTATATCATCTGGGCAGTTAGTACATCCTGGGAGTAAGGGTGAGGTTGGGCTGGTTATAATACATGAATACAACACACCAGTGTGTTTCACCTCTATATTAAACACTATGTAATTATTGTTACAACACACAAGTAATCACACATTAATATTGTGAGCATAATGTTACAACTGGCGGCAGGTGGTGTCCGAGGTTATTGGCACGTCCCAGAGTGCCACACCAGCCATCAGTAACCATCGTGGGTGACTCGCTTCACCACCCCGGGGGCGTCACACACTTGTAGCTTAGATAGTCTCGTTTTAATTATTCATTTAATAATTTAGATGAAAAAGACCATAATTAATTAATAATTCACAAATATTATTTAGCCCATTCAATGACAATCATACATACAGGATGTAGAGTCAATGGCAAAATGCTGATCCTTAGAAAGTTAAACAATTTGAAAGTTATCTTCGGTCAACTGAGCTGACAAAATACTTAAGTTCAAATCAACTAAATAATTCTGTACTGAATGGACTAATTCTAAATTAATTATATATTACACAAATAAATTACAACCCTGTGGAGTTGAGTGGAGCACATAACAAACCCATTATACAGTCCACTGAAGGTAATATAAATTCCTGAGTGTTAACACACATAATCCCACAAGGCCACAACAATAGTTTCCTGATGACGCAGCAAGTTTGGTGCTGGGCTGATGGCCTATCAACCGCTGATGGATTATTAATCACAATAGTTACCTAATGAACCAGCAAGTTTAGTTTTGGGCTTAAGGCCTATCAACTTCGGGAGGGGTATAAAGTCTACCGCAATAAATAGTCCAAGTTAGGTAACTCCTAATTCGTCCTTTCCAGGCATATAATATTTATATCCTCCCAAATACATTCATATGTATGTCTAACCTAAACGTGAAAGAATTCAACGATCACACGCCCTTATAATAACTTGATTTCGTTGCCAAATTATCCAGCAGTGAATGTTGTATACAGAAGATAGCAAAGCTTGTGAAAAAACAAATTGCATGCATTTCACTTCTTCGCTCGAGTAAGTATTAATTTAATGTATCCTAATTTTCAGTTTTTCCATAACCCATTTTCTTGCATTTCCATCTTATAATACAAACTTCCTACAGGAGAGGCTGTCCGGATCCCCTCTCGTACGGAAGGTACTGCATTCGGTACGTCGACACGTGTCATTCTGACCAGGAGTGTCAGAGGATTAACAGGGGCCGCAAGTGCTGTCTTGTTGCTGGCTGTGGCAAGGAGTGCAGGAGCTAAGGTCAGAAGGAACAAAGAGCACGCTGCAGGATGGCCAAAAGTGCACGCAATAGGAGCAAGTTGCAAGAGCGTTTTCATATTATCAATAAAATTATTTCAGCCAGTGGAGGCGCTGTTTAACATTCCTTAATAAAATCAGCATTACACACGTCTAGAATATTTTCATCTATCACGAGTGCTTGGAACCTGTCCGGGGAACACACCCTAAGATGCTCCAGCTCACTTGGACGAGTTGACACCTTGACTCCACAGTTGTCTCCCAACAACTATCAACCTCAAGATGGCACAACTGACATGAACGTATCAAGATATGCAAAACAACACACAAGACATGCAGAAAACCGCACAATAAATGGAGAAAAATGTAATGTAAATGCAGAACAACAAGTAATAAATGAAGAATAATGCAAAAGACCAGCAAAATAGCAAACACACAATAATTAAAGAATAAGGCAAAAGACAAAAAAAGAACAACATTAAATATATGCAGAAAACGTACAATAAATACAGAACAGCCCACAATAAATGAAAGACAGCCCACAATAAAGGCAGGACAGCACCCCACCATAAAATAACCTTTTAGGAATTAGTGAAATTTTTAGTTCGTGTATCCAAACCGTTAATTTTGTATTAAAGATTAAGTTTGACATTTTCCTAGTTGTACTGTCACTAGCATTATATTTGTATAAAGAGAAAGCTTGACATTTTCCTACTGGTATTATCACTTGCATTATACTTTTATTATAATTAGGCTTTACATTTTCAAAGTGTTATATTGTCACTTTAGGTTATACCTCAGATCATAACATCTTTGTTTGAAGATTTCTAGATTTCTTTTTAACTTAAACTGGGAGATTAGTACCTATAAACAGGTTTATAAGTTGCTATACTTGTCTATCCTCTTAACCGATAAATATTGAAGTTCTCCATATATATAGTTATCATGACCCTCGTCCTCTTCTGATCGTGTCTTATCCAAGACCCTTATATTAAATATCAGCCAGTTGCTGACTGCCAGTGGCTGAATTAACAAGTAAAATTAAAGATTCTGTTTGTTTTCTTCAACCTTTTATTCATTGATATTCTGGCAGAAAAATATTAATATATATAATTTAGTGAAAAAAAACAAATCTGATTTAAGCACTTAAGCGTTTGCCTGTGTTACGAACCCGGATCCAGCGTCCTAGCCTGGAGCAGTGACAAACACGCCATCTGTGGGTCAGCTCCCGAAACCCCCGCCAAACGAACGACGACACCTAGTGAGGACAGCGTGTACTGGCCTCGAGGACCAGTTTCCAGTCTGGTTCAGCGCTCAACACCGCCGCTCCTGACCTCTGGTGAGGTGGTGCTCCGAAGACAGCGCCATCTATGGAGTGGATATGTCGGGCGTTTGTATCTGAGCCTGTGAGTGTGGTGTATTAGTGTCCCGGTTATTAATGACGTGTCTGCTTACAGAGCCGACCTGGGACCACTGTGTTGAAGGTGGAGTCAGTCTACCCGAGGCAGCCAGTCTCCATACTGTGAAGTTTGCTGCAGCTGTTGCGACGTCGTCCCCCCGGAAGAACACTGTGGTGTGTTAAGCCTGCCAGTGGAGTGGCAGTGGAAGGATTTACCCGGGACCGACGGTTGGAGACGATAATCCACTGGGGTATCGAGGACAGGAGGGTGATTGGTGATATCACACGAGACTCCTGTCTAGGGCGTACCCCTTTTATCGTTCGTGGAGTGGCCGTACCAGCCTTGGTGGCTCAGTACCTGCCAGCAGACCTGCTGGACGTGTGGTTCATGGCCTCCACGACGGTGCCCCCAGTGGACCTGTGTTGTGGCTGACCTGTGGCCAGGGTAGACTCGGCGTTCTCAGAGGACACGTCTTGAGGCCACGAAGAAAGCACCGCGGACTCCGCACCTAGCTTCAAGGATCCATAGTCTCCAGCAGAAGACTACAGTGTTGACCCCCTTTGTAAAGTGTTAATACCCCTCCCCCTTGTGTACGTTTTACTTTTATATATTTAAATGGTGAAGGTTATATTATATTAAGTTCTTACCTTTCTTTCCCTACTCCCTTTAAGTTACTTGCGTCACGGATCGCATCCCTTGAAAGCCTCTACTGGCTTGGGGCCGGATATATATATCTTCCTCTAACTACATCAGAGTAAGAACCCCGTTGCGTCCCGAGAGGGCCGTAACATAATTGGCATCCCCAGCGGGATCCGTCCCCTTGTTAAGTATGTTTGACAGGGGTGGTGAAGTGGCGTAATCCCTGTAAATAATTCCCCGTGTGTGACGATTGTGACGTTATACGTCCTGTGCGGTGCTCAGTGACTAAGCGCGATATTGTGCAGTGCAGTGCTCGCTGTGATTAAGCGATTAAGTGCAATATTGACTAGTGCGGTGCTCAGTGATTCAGTGCAATATTGTAGAGCGAAGTGTTCGCTTGGACTCAGTGCAATATTGGGTAGTGCGGTGCCCGAAGTGATTACGTGCAATATTGGCAAGTGCAGTGTTTGGTGCGATAAAGTGCAATATTGACGTAGAACAGTGCTCGGTGCGTTAAGTGCTAACGTGTAAACGGTGCGTTAAGTGCTAACGTGTAAACGGTGTGTTAAGTGCTCGTTAAGTGTTCCATCTGTGACAATGGCAGACAAAGCTACCATCGATGATCTGGACGAGGTTCAGGCTTTTCTGAACAGAGAAGATTGTCTTGCCAGATTAAAATATCTGAGTAAACCAGAGCTTGTACTAGTGAGCGCCTACCTGGAGATCAAGATCCGTGCCAGTGATTCCCGTGTGGAGATCTTGTCCAAGGTTCACCGGCACCTGAAGGCAGAAGAGAAACAGGAAGGCGAGACTCCTAGTACAAAGGAAAGTGCAGACATAGCTTCCACGGAAAAGGAAGATAAGGGCAGTGACGTTGACAGTGATGCAGGTGAGCTTAATATCAGCTTCCTAACAGTCAAGATGCGTGCCCTGGAAATTAATCGGGAAATTGAATGGAAGAAGTTAGAAATGGAACGAGAAAGAGAAGAGAAACGAGAAAAAGAAGAACGAGAAAGAGAAGAGAAACGAGAAAGAGAAGAACGAGAAAGAGAAGAAAGAAGAGAAGAACGAGAAAGAGAAGAGAGACGAGAGAGAGAAGAACGAGAGCGAGAAAGGGAGGAAAGACAGAGACAACATGAACTAGAAGTATTACGACTAGGCGCTGGACAGAGACAAACTGGAGTAAGCGGTTTCGATCCGGTAAGGAATATCAAATGGTCCCCAAATTCAACGAGAGAGAAGTTTCGAAGTTCTTCGCAGCCTTCGAGAAAGTCGCTGCCTCTTTGGAGTGGCCAAGGGAGAATTGGGCTATCATGATACAGTCAGTTTTGACTGGGAAGGCCCAAATCGCCTACTCTACGTTATCCCTTGACGACTCCGGCGATTACGATATGGTGAAGAAAGTAGTGCTCATGGCGTACCAATTGGTACCTGAGGCATATAGGCAAAAGTTCAGAAACCTGAAGAAGACCTCAGAGCACACTTTCACCGAATTCGCCACCATCAAGGAGCGACTTTTTCAAGAATGGTGCGCCTCTCGGAAGGTGGATTCCAAGGAAGACCTCGAGCAGCTGATTCTGCTCGAGGACTTCAAGGATTGTTTATCTGGAGACCTCAAGACGTACTTAGAGGAACAGCAGGTAGAGACCTTGAGTGCAGCAGCCACCATGGCTGAAGAGTATATTCTGACTCATAGGCCGTCTGCTAAGTACGTCCCAAGGAATTACCAGCGCCGGTTTGACAGACCTCACGACGAAGAAGAAGAAAGACCCGTCCCACAAAGTGCTAAGAAGACTCCCCCAAGTAGCCCTCGAAGAACAAGTCCTAGCAGTCCGAAGCACCGGAGCCCGAGGAGGAATATGGTGTGCTGGACTTGTGGGCAGAAAGGGCACATAGCTGCTAGGTGCCGAGGTAGAAGAGGTGGCAGCGCACGAAGGGAGGTGATGTTGGTGAGCTGTGTTACATCACCAGTAGGAAACCAGTCTACGACGACGCAGGAAGGACCAAGTTTGTTGGCCCCTCACACTTCAACCGGGTATGTAACGAGTGATCATACTGGTAGATCAATTGTAGTGCTCAGAGATAGTGGAGCAGCCCAGTCCCTGATCGTGAAGAGCTCGTTACCCGAGGGAGTAAGTGTGGATGGGAGACCAGAGGTTATCCTGGTTGGGTTTCCAAGGACGCAGTACATCGCCCCCTTAGTGCCAGTACATCTCGACACGCCTTACTTCAGCGGCACCTGTGAGTTGGCAGTAGTCGATACCCTCCCTGTGGCTGGGATTGACGTGGTACTAGCCAACGACCTGGTGACCGATTGGAGCACCAATCATCCCAAGATAGCGGACGAGTCAGCCAGAACATCAAGGTCTGAGGTAACGACGGGCCGTGGTAATGTCCAAGTAAAGACAGAGCCGGATGTAACTATGTTTAATTTGTCCTCTCGCCTACAGATTAAGAATGATCTAGCAGTGTCTCCTGATTCTCTCGACAAGGAACATGAGGTTACGATGGCAGAAGTACCTGAGCTAGAAAAGAGGCCTCGTGTGCAGACACCCACGGATACCAACGAGTCTGGAGCGAAGGCTGAGGTGTGCTTGCGGTATGGCAAGTTACAGCGTGTAGTGGACCAGCCAGAGATTCCCCAGACGTCAGAGGTATGTGAGGTATGTTCTAAAGGTCTAGTGCCCTCTTTGGTCCAAGCCAGGCTAGTGGATGGTGCCGGCTATGGACATGACAAGCTCAGGAAACTTATCCCTCGACTTGCCAAATGTTTCCTATCGGTATTTTGTTTTGTTCTCCTATGTGTTCTCTGTGTTCTCAGTAAGGATCAGTGGACGACCCGAAGGATGATGGCTCCCGTGAAGATCGAGAAGAGGTCCCAGGGATTGGAGATTTGCACTGCAAGTGTTGCAGTTGAAGAAGGGACCTGGGAGGTAATAGATGATACAGGAGGTACGATATGTGATAATGTGAGTGACTGTTTCCGACAGGTTGACACCCCCCGCGTGACTGCTGAGCCTCAACACAGCGGTATGCGGAACGTTGGTCGACCTGACGGTGGCAGAGTGAATGCCATCTGCGACGTACAAGCAGCCCTGTTGGGACTAGGTGTGAACCTAGTAGGGTATGCTGTAAGTATTGACTTACCCACTGTCGCTATCACTCTGAATTATCAGACCCCTGTATTCCAGGTTCCTGTCTCCCTGAAGGACCATCGGACCGGCACCAGAAATGCCGTCTGTGGTCAGCCATCATCGGTGCCACGACATAGGGAAGTGTCGAGTCACCCCAGATCGTGTCTACACCGATCCTTACTCGAGAGATGTGAGATGATGCCCCTGTTTGCTATCGCAGAGGTGGTGTGGAAGATTACGTCAGGCAGGTCATCGCCTGCCATTTTCAAGCTCCCTTTGTGCCAGGGTTTCTCAGTAGAAAAGTTCTGTGGACAAGACAGCCTCATCTCTCCAGTTCATAGTATAAGTAAGTCCATTTGGAGTTGTGTCGCCCTGCTAATTTGGTTTGTGTTTTTTATAGAACCCCAAACCAAATTCTTTTTGGTGGGGAGGTGTTACGAACCCGGATCCAGCGTCCTAGCCTGGAGCAGTGACAAACACGCCATCTGTGGGTCAGCTCCCGAAACCCCCGCCAAACGAACGACGACACCTAGTGAGGACAGCGTGTACTGGCCTCGAGGACCAGTTTCCAGTCTGGTTCAGCGCTCAACACCGCCGCTCCTGACCTCTGGTGAGGTGGTGCTCCGAAGACAGCGCCATCTATGGAGTGGATATGTCGGGCGTTTGTATCTGAGCCTGTGAGTGTGGTGTATTAGTGTCCCGGTTATTAATGACGTGTCTGCTTACAGAGCCGACCTGGGACCACTGTGTTGAAGGTGGAGTCAGTCTACCCGAGGCAGCCAGTCTCCATACTGTGAAGTTTGCTGCAGCTGTTGCGACGTCGTCCCCCCGGAAGAACACTGTGGTGTGTTAAGCCTGCCAGTGGAGTGGCAGTGGAA